CTTCCCCTCCCCAACCTCCACATCCCCAGCAGCTTCACCAGCCTTCGCCTTCACAGGAGGAAGACCCTTCACGCCAACCGCCTTTGGCAGAGGCGGGCGTGGTCTGGTTGATCCGTGTGCTTTTATGTGAAGCAGAGGAGGGCCTTTTTGCGTTAAAATCATTACAGGGGATTGTGGTGTGATCGAGTCGCCTTCACTTCGGGCTATGTGATCTGGTGCTTTTGGTACGTGAATTGCAACCGTCTGGGTTGTTTTTTCCTCGGCACTCATTTTCAGTATGCTGTCGCATGTCGGGTCTTGCAAGTCTTCTTCTCCTGTTGGATGTGAGACACTTTCTCGTTGCTGAGACGAACGACCCAGGTTTGCCGCTTCTTCAGGTGTACTTTCTTCTGCCTTCGGCTCCTGCTGCGGCGCATGGTCCCTGAATAAATCGTCCTCAATCTCTGGGAGTCCTGTTACGGATAAAACTGCGTTCTTGCTGCTGGTGTTTTCCGTTGTTTTCGTCATGTTGCGAAGTTCTGAAGTCTTTGGTTGATCTATAGTTGAAAGCGAAAGAGAGGCGCCTCGTTTGTTTGCGTGAGTTTCTTCGGCAGACTCCTTGATTTGTTGCTGCTCCTGTGTGCCTTGGCTGCTTCTTGACGAAAGGCCTTTCTGGTTTGCTGCTGCATGTAGGTTATTAGTTCCACTTGTAGGAGGGGGCGCGAGAAGCCCTGCTCCACCAGGAAGCTTGGGCTTAACTTTTGGAGCGCCAATTTCGTCGTTCCTGACTATAATTTCGGTGCCGTCGGGGAGCTTTCGTTCGACGAAAGTATATTGCTTAGACAACCTGCCTGTCAGCAGTTTCGCCAAGGGGGATTCGGAAGCTTGCATGGGAGCTTCATCCATGGGTCTCCGATCCCCTAGAAAATTACTGTCTCCGAGATTTGAGGCCAGCTGCGTTCGGTGTGATACAGTTTCTGAACTCAAAATGCTTGACGGCTCCATATGCACCATACCTCGGTTTACAGGTGGCATGAGCTTCGGCTCTGTTCCCGCAAGGCCTGTGGTGTTCAAATCCTCATTCATTACTGTAGAGAAGTTTGTGTCTCCTTCAGTCTCCTGCTTCTTTTCAGATGCCTCGTTCCCAATCCGTAATTTGCTGGAGGGCAGGCTCTCTGTCAGGTCCTCTCCAAATTCGTCCATGCTATCCGGTGCATTATTTCCACTTGTGGAGTGCAACTGAGAACTGGTCTTCTTCTTCGAGGCATTACTGTCTTTATTGTTGCCATTAGATGCAACTTTTCCCACGAATGGAAGTTCGCTTGATTCCCCTACGGAGGCAATCGTTCCCGTATGTTTCGGCGGGTCCTGACCAGACATGAGCTCATCGTCTATCACAGGAGCTTGCTCGGGAAGGTCAACAACATGGCTGTTACTATCCTTTTTATTTTCGTTTCCATCTACCTTCTCCCCGGCTTGGCGGATTGTTCTCGGGCTCTGGTGAACTGGTTCTTCTGAGAGCGGGGTTTCAGGTTTGCTGTCGCTGACCCAGGAGGTGGCACCACCGAAGAAGTTCCAAACAAACGTACCAGAAGCAGACTCACTATCATGCGCGCTTGGTTCTTTTGACGGTGTGTCCTTCACTGCTTCATTCGGGCTAGCAGTTGCTGCCTTTCCCTCTGGAGGGATCTCATGCGTTGGCGTTGAATTTTCAGTGTTTTGCGTGAGCTGACCCCAAAGGCTCCACCCAGAGGTAGGCTGGTTATCATCACTACTTTCAGGTACTGTCGGAGCAGTATCCTCCTCATGGCCATTTTGTGAATTGATAGAAGACAAATGCAATGGTTGACCATCTCCGTCCTGCTCATTTTCGTCCATGGAGCTGGCACTCTCCGCATCTAGCTGCGCTTGCGTCCCCGCAGCCAACTGCCCCCAAAAATTCCAGGGCGAGAAGCTCTGCTCAGGTGTCGGCTCATCTGGCTTGTGGAGGTCGTCCTTAGCGTCCGACTCAGAAGACCGTGACGACGGTGGCTCGTCTTCATTCACCGTTTGTTGCGCTTCAGCATTTGAAAAGAACCACATTGCTGTACTGTTAAGAATTTTGCTCAGTGAGATGCCTTCAACTTTTCGTGTGTGGACTGGGCCAGAACGGACAAACCATTGTCGGTCAGCACTCTCAGTGTGACCCTAAGAGAACTTAACCGCATCGATCACAAGCTCATAAACATAACCTCACTAGAAAAAAAGGCTATATAAGGCACTGATTCTCACAGCTGATGCTGTGCTATGAAGGAAGCCTCACACTGACGGCTTTCTCCAGAAGGGCTCGCCCGATTGGAGCCGAAGCCATTGGATCTCTCGAGACCTTTATGCATTCTGTAGCCCCTCCAAAAAAGCAGGCAGGCTATTTACATTGGGTATTACTGAATATGCGTTTAGACATCATATCGCGGGTTACTATCAAGCATAAAGGCTGGAGCCTGAAATTGGGAGAACAGCCGGGAGTTCAGGGCCTTCCAAAGAGTGAGGAAAACCTACGAACTTCTCGGACCAATTTACACAATTATTTCTTTTCGCTGCCATTCTGCTTGTAATATTACCGGCTCCTAATTTTATCTTTGAAACTTGCTAAAAAATTGTAATGTGGTTCGGCAAGCAACGCCAGCTTCGAGGGGTAACTTGGGGTATATCTCGTCCACAAGAAGGGGTAGCAATCAGGCTTTTAGTGTCTAGACAGTGCTCCTGTCTCAAATTCAACATTTTGCTCATTCTTTGAAAGTGACATCTTTTTCATCTGAGCAATTTGCCGGCAGTCTGGTATGGCCCACGCTAACGGCAAGTCGTCTCAGCTGTGTTTTCTACAGCAAAATCAAAATTTTTGGCAGCTAAGCTTTTTCCACCACTGTTATCTTTTCCAATACATACAGCAATATAAGGACCCTGCTGGGCCCAACATAGGCCTCGGACGCACTTCAATTCTCGACTCCTCATAAGCGCTTGTCCCGGAAGAGCAAATGTGGTACATAATTCAAAATGTTGCACTGGAAATGGAAAATTAGCGAGGGAGACGTTGCCTTCTACCTGTACTCCGTGAAATGTGGTGTTACAGTCTTATGGTGTCAAAATACTACGTCTGTAAGGGTTGATCGGCTGAAATACGGTACGCGGTGAGGTAGCTGGCTCTAAAATGTGGTATTTTTGCATCCGCTGATGCTTTGAATTGAAAGCTACCTGTGATACTATCGCCTCCTACTACGTAAACTCCTGGAACACTCCACGCAAAGACATTCAATGCATCAAGCGTGAGACAGTACAAAAGCCCCCAAAATATATATACTGCCTACAAAGCACTTTTCTCCAAAAGAAATAGAGAGAATAGTTGCTTCTCTGCGAGGATGCTATGAGGTACCAAACCAGAAAGAGCATTAAGATGCGCCAAAACATATGAAGACCACTGCTGATACTGTTCTACTGTTCTCATATTCCATTCCCCGAACTCATCTATGTGGGCACAGGCCATCCCTCGCTCTACTGCATGGAGTTCATCATATATGCACTCCAACTTGCAGCCAAATGCGAAAGGAGAGCAATTGGTTTCCAACAAGTGGACAGTAACGCCAAATGCGATATTTACTGGAGGCTGAAGCGCGACTGTTTCTGATGCCATGGAAACGCTGTCCAGAACGACCACTTCAGGACGTACCTGAGACAGTTTTAGTAGTCCTTGCTCATTGTGGGCAGCTGGCAGTCTTTCAGCTTCGCACATTTGCCTTTGTATGCTGTGCTGTAGACGTTATGTGGTCATTTCAGCATCTCCCTTCGTCATTGTGTCACTAGGAATTCAGGAAGACTCTAGGCAAACATCATTTCTGTGATGCCCACAGAAAATAGCAGCGTCCAAGAGCAGCACGAAGAAAACCACTGGGGATCCTTCAATTGCACGCTAGCCCATGCTGCATTGCGTCATAAACCAAAAGCACGCTTCCGCAAGCTACTATGATCGCTGCAATGCAGCTTTGACCAAGGGATGCCGGGGAGAAGGTTGGGGAGTTCCTCCCCATTTAGGTGGCAGTTCAGGTGTCTGGTGAGGTGGGATAGTTAGAATCGGAGAGCCTCTCCACTCTTCTTCTTCGTGCCCATTAGGGATGTACCTAGAGCAAAAAAGTGGAGAGGAGGCACTGAATGCACCAATGTTCACTTCCAATTAAGATGTACAGGAGCAGCTGCCATACAACGAATTAACGGTGCACTGCGAATAACTGAGAAATTGAGGAGCTTTCAAACATTTGCAATGGCCGCAACCGTCACACAACAAAACACAAACTGGAGACGCAAAATCAGCCACATGCCTGGCGCCTTGAATGTGGCTCCGTCAACATTTTTATCTATTCAGCCGAGGCTCTGCATCGTTTTGTCACTATCTAGGTTACGAAGTTACGCATACTTGATAATTTCTTCGGGTTCATGGATGGTCCGGTAGCGAATGACTTCTTCCACAACTGACACCTCCACGATCTTTTCAACCCATTTCTGGCAAAATACCGGCTTCTCCACTATGTTCTCTCGAATTTCAACTTTAGGGACTATTTTGGTATTGTACATTACCTCGGGAACTTCAACGACTCTCTCTACCCATTCAATTTGAGGGACTTCCACGATCTGATAGCGTCCAACCGTGAAAAAACCCATCACAGTCACATATTTCGCCGTGCAATTTGAATTGATATCTAGGAAAGTATTTTTTTCTCATGGCTGCATAGCCACAGAGGCTAGAAAGTACGTTCTTAAGACTTTTCCCACCGATGTTCAAAGATGCTACAAGCTGCTAGGCGATAGGACTGCGCAGCCAGTAAAGGCAATGACTCACTTTTTCAATGTATTTGGGAACCAGTTTGGGTACTTCGACTACTTTTTCTCGAACGACTGGCTTTGGGACATACACATCAACTGTTCGAGTAACAGGCACTTCCACAGTCCTGGTGACGACGTCAACAGGTTGGTAGGCAGTGACTTCGAGCTGAAGCCGCAACAAAACAGCTTGAGATGTTCCTTTGGCAATCAATGACAATTGTTTCCAAAGAATCAACACGGTCTGATGGCGCATGAGTGCGTTGGCGACAGAAAACATTGCTGGCAGATGCTTACCCACTCCCTAGTACTTCGCGACTCGCCTGCCGCGTTGGGCCTACCAACTATGGGAGGTCCCAACAAACGGTCAGGCGCCGAACTCATTGGCGGTCCCATGCGCTCCCAAGAAGGCGACGCTGATGCAGAGAGCTCCGTTTGGTGGACCGAGTGAGTTCCAAAGGCCTCCTGCGGCGGAGTTACTGCACTCCCATACTGATTCCCAAGGGAAGCCACAGGAGTTGGCATACAACTACCTCGAGTGCATCCGAGCCTGTTGTTGTTGTACGGTCTACTTGGGAAAAGGTCTATAGGCGGACCATTCCAGCGTCTCGGTACATCCGGCCTTCCAGGGCCTGTTTGACCCTGCATTTGCTCTACCTTCTACGATCGCCAGTAAAAGCTATGTCCTCGGCATGCTTTACAGCAACGTGTTATACGATGGAAACGCCCGGCTGGTTCTCAGGCTTTCATCTGGTTTCTTGAGCACCTCTTCCTATTGCTTGACAGGCCACAAGTTGCGCCGAGGAACGTAGCTGCGGTGGGATACGCAGACAAGGTGCTTGATGCTGGTATTTTTTTGAAATTCCAGAGGGCGCGGCTCAGTTGGGTGGGTCTTCGCAGCTTGAATCTCAGCTTTGAATATGCGAACTTCGTCGGCCTGAACTGCCGGAGTTTTACTCTAGTACCGACGAAATATGTCCTTGCGACTCGGCAGGTCGAAGACACAACCGCCAGAAATATTAATGCCAGCCGAAAATTATCAGAGTTTGATCACCTGGTGGAGATCAACACACATGCTGATGTCCGAATGCTGAGCGCTCACCGACGTCTGCGCAGCTGCTGAGCGGAGCAGCGTAACCTCTTAAAGCAAATCCTTCATACGAATTTATAGCAATAATGATCTTGGAAAGAAACATTGAAGGGCTGCTAGTGACTGCAGCCCCACGTGCAACCCTCGTTTATTGTGCAAGCGGAGTCAACCGTCGTCGCCTGCAACTCGCCGGACACGTAGGACCCAGGGAGGGCCTCTTGTCCACCTAGCTGCATCTTATTGTGCAACTTGTTATCACTCTGTGCAATTCAATATATTTGCAGTTTATTGTTTTATTATTTTTAAGCTCTCTCCGTCGTGGCGGCTGCTCCAGTGTTGGTGGACTAGGCGCGTGATCGGCAGCGGTCTCGTGTGAGACATTCACCGCGAAATCGCCAAACACGCTAGGCCTTCCTCTACAAGGTAACAAAATACCAACAACTTCGTCATTTGGGAGAAAGTCGTGCTTAAGTCTGCCTTCCCCAGTGCCGCAATGCGAGCGGTGGCGTGTACTGTGACCGTCTGCTCATCGCGTCGAGCCGTAGTACAGACACGGCAAAGCACTAAGCCTCCCCAACTCATTTCGTAGGGGCCGAAATTTTCAGCGCGCTGTTAATGATCCTCATCATCAGCAAGGTGCTGAAGAGCATTACGACCTCCAGATTGACCATAGGTGCAAGCTTCGATACGCGATAATGAAGCCCGAAGATCGCATGGCTCGAACACCATTAAAGGTTTCACCAGGCCGTAGTGGTATCCAAGGGAATCCACCGCCTGGTGCTACCGTGCTGCAACCCATAGTAGAGGTGCGGGACCCTGACGGACAATGTCCACGCGAACAGCCTCTGCAAGGTGGTACGTGAAACCGCGCTTATGCCAAGAACCTCGTGTCACTGTGAATGCGAAACTATAGGAGAGAGTTCGCGAGATCGTGAAGGAACGCGTCGAAAATAGATATATCGAAGTGCCGCAGGTTTATTATGTTGAAAAGGTGGTGGAAGTGCCACGGGAGGTCCCCGAGGAGAAGATTGTGCGAGTCATGAAACCAGTGAAGCGGGAAGTTATAAAATACGTCAAAAAACCCGTCTACATTGACAAGATCGTGGAAGTTCCGGAAATAAAAGTGAGAAAATAGCTGGCGGGCTTGCGTGAAGCCTTACGGGAGCCGGACCCAAGCTCATGCGTCACTGTACCTCCATGAAATGTTATCATTTCTTGGTGATGCCTCATGTAATACAAATGACCCAAAATGTAATGTTTTTAAGTAGTATTCGGTATAATCTGTGTCTACGTTTCAGTACGTGGATAAGGTGGTTGAAGTCCCTCGGTACGCAATCAAGGAAAAAATCGTGGAAGTTCCAAAAGTTCTTGTCATTGAGCGAATTATACCGGTCCTAAAAAGCTACAGGAAAGAGCAAGTGGTGTATGTCGAGCCTGGACGGCAAGTGAGTACATAAACCTTGCGTCCGCAGTATGCAACCTTGTGTTCGCTGTGTGCAGTGCATGCTGTGCATCGCCTGTTTGGTTGCGTAACTCCTTTGCCACTTTCTCCTCACTCTTCGATTTTTCTGGTGCGTCAACAGATACCTCTTGGAAGCCAGCATGCGGCTTATTCTAGGGCGCAGCAATATGGGCAGCCTCAACGAAATTTCGGGGAACGACGGCTTCCGGAACTTGCAGGGCTTCCTCCCCTCTGGAGGCACGAAACCACATCTCCAAGTCCTACAACAACAAACAATTACGGGAACTATGAAAGCGCCGAAAATGCATCCAATAAGCTTATATCACGCATAAGCGATGACGGAATGCCAACCAACAAAGCAGCAAGCGGGCCCTCTTCGGCTCCAGGAACTCCGTACATGGCTGCAAATTCTGCCGATCCGCTTCAGGTGAACACTACGCCATCCATTAACTAGTCGAAGCGACGATTCTGCGCCACTCAACAAAGATGTGCGCGAAAGTGCAGCGGCGTCTATTCGCATCTGAGTTCCACAAATTTTCTATTGCCGCAAGCGTGTGCATATTGGGAAAACGGCGTACGCGGAGGACTTGTGTTGTGTGGCCCACGGCCTCGACAGCCTTAAAGTACGGCCTCCAAATTAGAGCCTCCAAAAGACAGGTCTGCCCTTCTCAAAAATGAAGGCGGGAAAAAATATCTTTTTGATTGCAAGCAGCGTTCGAATACCCATGAAGCAATAAACTAACTAGTTGAAGAGCAACTTTCCATATTTGGCTGTGGGGTTCGATGACATGGCGAGCTTTCAGAGGTCGGTTTGCGTCACAAATCCAATTCAATAACACGACTGAGGTCGTGCTCAAGCTGCCTGAAACACAGCGCAAAGGCGAATCGGAATTCACACAGCTATACTGAGATGCGAGCGCGGACCCAACTGATGTTGCACTGCAACGCTAGCTTGTAGCTTATTACAACTTTTGTTTATTTGTGACGACTCTGTAGCATTTGTGGCTGGCATTACTCTAAGACTTCATCTGCGCGCTTCTTCGGAACACAAGGTCCAAATTCGTGTGGCCCGTGAGAACCAAGTAGAGGGGAAGCTTTCAAATTGCCATCATGACGCAGGAGCTTCCTATGGGCTAGGAAGGTGCTAACGAGGGCCGCCAGCTTTGGGAAAGTATAGAATAACGGAAAAATGACGGGCACTGCAGCGGCGACGAACTCGCTCAACGTGGGCGATTCTGATCGTTAAACAAACAGGGACGAACAGTTGAATGTCCTTCCCATTTGTTACTGCATGCGGTTTCTACGTCTTTCTCCAGCTATCCTCATACAGCCCATAAATATGCACGCTCTACAGGCCTAGCTGAAATGACCCAAATCAGAAGATACATACAACAGCTGCTCCCCATCAATTTCTACAGTCATTCCACATAAAGAGCCTGCAAACATCAAAGGCATCGTATCCCTCTGGGTTTACCGTGCAATTCAGAATGTTTGACTGCCTCCAGAAAAACCGCATTTGCGTTTTCGGATGCAAATGAAGGATCGGTGTCGCGTTTGTCCCCGGGGAACGGCCGGTTGTCTCGCAAGTCACAAGCGACGCAAACAATACATTTCAGGTAGAAGAGGCATAGATCCACACGGCTTAACGGGGCTAAAGCTGGGTGAATCGCCGTTGTCTGATTCGTCCTGATACGCACTCCATGCACTGGGCTGAAACCGACAGATCAAGAAGGCAAACAAACACTCGTATCCACAAAATGAACCATTACAGCGATCCGTCAAAGAAGAAAATTGTGGAAGCACTTTGTAATAGCGTCTTCCGCCTCAGGACTTGTGGCCAGTTGCTTCCCTGCTGCGAATCCATTCGATGATGCCTACATTTTGTTCATATTTTTACTGGAGGTTCTTACTCGGAAACTATTTCGCCTTGCACTGAGGGGGCCGATAGCGTAATTGCGCAATCCTTTCTGCTTGTTGCATCAACCACGTCTCTGCCCGTCTTAATGTCCCAGAAACAAGAGGCGTTTTGTCGGAGTAATTGACAGAGCAGGGGTAGTAGCCTCTGCACCTCCTTCGTGTTTTTACAAACATTGTCGACAGCTTCGAGAGGAAAGCCAGAAGTAAATAGAGCTTCGAGGCTCTGCGGCCTTCTATTTGCTTGCCGATCCAAAAGCCTCCCTAACAACTCCCATGTTCCCTCATCTTGTGCAAAGCAACATGCCTCTATTACAACCTGCAATACTGCTGTCTCCTATAAAAAGAACACCCAAGCGATTGCCGCAAGAACATGATTCAATTTTCGCACACTACGTGCGTAGCTGGACCCACTGTTGCTCCCGGCACACGTCGCCAAAAGGCGTAAGCCGGCATGAGCTTTTGTTGCAAAGGACATTGTAACAGTGCTCACCTGAAGCTGTATTATCTCTTCGGCCGAAATTGGCTCAGGAGGCCTTCCAGGGAGAGTTGGAGGCCCCATGTGTGCGTATGCTTCAAGCTTCATCAGAAGCATCAAAAGGATTCGTGCCAGCACATTGCTCGTCAACAGCCGTATAATTAGGTTGGCTGGCAGCTGCAGCAAGAGGTTCAGAGGGTTTTGGACAATACACAAATATATAGCGTCGAGCATTGCTGGTTTGAATCTGGGGGGGGAGACACACCCCTGGAAAGCCCACGAGTGAACCGCTACAGCTCCCATCTTCTCTATATTCTCCGACGGCAACTCTGTTGGCAAATCATCATTAGTGGGGCTCCACTCCAAGGTAGGGGATGATGCAGTGGTCGGGTTGTTGTCTCGCTCGAAGAACTTGTTGATTAGAGAGCAAACTGCCCCAGCAACTCCCGCAAGCGGTTCGCTTTGTAGGTACAGCTGAAGCATCTCACTATCAGTCTCGAGCGCTGCAGGCATGGACGACTCCGTTGTCACTGCCCTGCAGCCAACGGCCACCACGAGATAGGAAAAACGGTGCTCAATCTTCGCTTCTGGAGGGTGGAGTTAACCCCGCAATGGCGACAAAAACTAGTTGCCGAACCTGTGAATCCAAAGGGACACTTGGTGTTGAACCTGGGCTGCAGAAGGTAACCAACTGGATGAACTCCAAGAGACCCGGGAAGCGGGAAGAGTGTTCCTTCCTATGCATGTGCAAGCAGGGAACTCCAGTGCGAGACTAGCGGTTAACCTAAAAGCATATGAGAGGCGACAGTTTCAACAAGTTAAGGTTGCAATGCGCGTGAATGAAGGAGTGTTCAAAGTGCGAAAAAAACACCACAAATGAGGAGGTGGAATATACAGACAGTGAGCAAAGGAAAAGTTTCTCAAACCACCTGCACACGGGATCAACCAAATCTGCCTCGGCGAGAGATGAAGGATGCAGCGTTCCGCAAGAAATGAGCTCCGATGGAGATAGAAGAGGTGGGGGTCCTTCAAAAAGAGCCGCCTCCGGGAGGCAATCTTGAAGAGCCTCAATAAAGAGGCGCAGCATCCAATGACTAAGTGTGGGACTGGCAGAAAAAACGCATGCAACAGACACAAATAACGTGCACAAGCATTCCAAAAGCGCTACACAAAGCTCCAAAATTCAGAATCTGCTCCAGGCAGTCAACGGGCTGAGAACTATGGGAAGCTAATGTACGGGCACAGAAGCCCAGCACCCTGTGTACGGCGCCTTAGTTTGTGCAAGCGCAGAACCAGCATATGAAGAAAGAAAAGCAGAAGTGTCCGCTACTGGAGAAAGAAATGATGGGAAGGCCGAAGAACTGACTGCGAAGAAACAAAATGAATGGCTGACTGCCACGGAAGAGAATGAAGGCGACGCAAATAACGCCCATCTCGAGCTGAAGAAAACAGCAGACAGCCCCAACTCATAATAAACAATTTTTGAGACAAAAGGAGGCAAACGAATAAAGAAAACGCTGTACGCAGACGCTCTCGCATAAAACAACAACGGGCGTCGCTGCTACAACAGCTGCAGAAAGAGCCTCATTGCCACAAAGCACATGCATACAGGTGATGTTTATGCGCGCCATTCTTTCGGAAGGAGACCTCCTCCACGCTAGCAGCTGAGCACTTGAAGTCACAAGTAGCTTCAGCATCCAACGTTAATGCGCTGTTCACATGAGTGAGGAACAGCGGCTACACCAACAGGAGTTTCAACAGTTTCCCCGGATTTAACAAACCCAGCTGCCATGTCAGAAGGAGTACTAGTAACTGGCAGGTTATGCTTACCAGGCTCTAGTGGCTGCGTTCAAAGAAGTAAAATGCCCATCTACTCACCCCGAAAGTACGGCAGAACGTGCATTCTTGCAATCAGGTATAACAGCATCACAGCAATGCAGCTGCAGCTCAAGCCGTCTTTTTCTTTCACCGCGACCTCCACCTCAGTAACTGGAGAAGCACCAGCAGCCCCCAAGAGAGGGAACACGTGGTGTTCAAGCGCGGTGAGCACTGCCGGGTAGTCCTGCAGCGTACAACGGGGCTCAAGACGAAAAGGGGAATTAAAAAAAACAAAACTCTCTAACATTTTCAAGACCAGACCGCTTAGCTCCATGTCCTCTATTCAGAAGTAAACATCACCACACAAACATATGTTAGCACATGCATCTGCATTCCCCCATAGCATACTTCACTGCAGGCATGTCTAAAGTGCATGTGGAAAATTGAACACGGAGGCCGCTGCTCGCAGGAAATGTGCAAGTGTGCATGCTTTCAACAATTCCGGAGACGTAATTCATCCACCACATACGTGGGAGTTACGCTCACAAGAGGTGAAGAGAGTGATGGGATCAATACTAACGCATTAGGAGACGTGTGATTCTCAAGAAACGCCACGAAGGCAGCCACGAGATGCATCCAACGCTGCAGCCCTGCATAGGGAAGGCCGAAAAAGCCCCCTCCATCTCCCTGCCCCTGTTTTCTTAAAACCTCTCTGGAAGGGGAGCACAGTAAAGCAGAAAAGGCTTCGCGTCCGCACTGGCAAACAAATAACAAGCATTGCAGAGACAGTAGCTCATCCGGCCTGTCATGCAAAATGTCCCCTTGCTCCCCATCGTCGTCCCTCGGGCGTGCCCTTTTCGCAGGAGAGCTTGCGGCGCCAGAGTCTTGAATGTCATCCAGGGGCACCTGCACTAATGGCCTAAGGGCACTCAAAAGGGAAGCTTTCGCAGAGGATATGTGGGCAGCAAGGATCTCAGACACAGCATCAGTCTCTTGTTTATGCTGCTGCGGCTCTCTTTGGGGCGGGGGCAACACATGGAGCTTCCAAGCCTGACAGGCCTCCAGAAAACACCTAAAAATAAATGCGAAAAGTGACTGGTTCGGCCCCTTCAGGGACAGGAATGGGGACGCTGACAAAGCCCGAGGTAGAAGGCTCCTCAAAACCGCGTGAGCGTCTTCTGATGTTGAGAAATGCCCAACATGGATACTTTCAAAAGATGTCTGTGACAGTGTCCCGATGACCTGGCTGTACAGAAGAGTCCCAAGACGTTGCAACATTTCCCCCCAAGTGTCTTGGTGTCGCATGCTGTTCCCGAGCATCAGGCTGCACACCTGTGTAAGACTCCCCATCTCGGCGTCTTTCTGTGAATCCGTTCCAGCCTGAAGATAGCTCTGCTTCATTCCAAGCAAAATTGCGCGTGCTAAAGTAGCCTTAAGCCCATTAGCCGCCAGCGCATGAACTCTGTCCAAGTTCACCAAACCAACCATCTCAGCGACAGCAAAAACGCCCCAGCGAGCCGAGCAGAGATCAACACGGTAAGACGGCTCGGCCGTATACGGCGGGAGTGGTGCGGCACCCATGGAGTTGGACAAAGGCTGCAAAGTCTCTTCAATCGCCTCCTCTAAGAACAGTTTTAAGGATTCTCCGACAGCTGCATCATCAGGCACCTGCTGCGGCGGGCCTTCGCCTCTGGTGCTTGCTGCAACCAAGAGCCTCCGTGTCTGATGTTGCTCGTAGTCAAAACAGAAAATGTAATAGTTCAGCAGCAGCTCAGCTTTCAAATACGCGCTCCCCTTCTTATGCTTGAGAAGGCTCCCAAAATCTCCCGGAAGAATCTTCCTATGAGGGCTTTCCGGTTTTCCAGTGGTTGCCAGGGGGCCCCGTAGAGAGCCAAGAGAGAATGTTCTGCTTGCAGCTGCATGCATTAGTTCTTCAGCCGAAGGCAAAGTGGAAAGTTGCAACATGGCTAAGGACGCAGAGTCTAGAAGCATCTCAGGTGAGCACAGGGAAACGAAGATAAGTTGCGAAAAACACGGCGAGCAGCTGCTGATATATTGCAGAACTAATGCCGCATAAGAGCACAGTGGGAATGAAGATGACCGCAGACGCTCCAGCAAAATTTGAATGCAAGAACTCCCAACCTGTGGGCAACCACACATCACTCATTGAACCCCTACGCTTTGCAAAGCTTAGTAGATTCCTTCCAGCTCATATTAACTCTACACGGGATCTATGCACAGGAAAAACTACGCGAAGTGCAGTCTTTTGCACGAATGAACCAGATGTACTGCAGCAATCCAGGAGTTAGATGCCAAAGTGAAACTCCACGATAGTAGCATGCTGAAAATGAGTGAAACGAGAACAAAGCATGAAGCCAACATCTTCTTAATCAAAATACTCAACTTTGAACCAATACACATACACGCGCACGTATGCTGTGCAGTGATGCGCGGAGATACGTCACGAGCTCAACACTTCACACACACACACACACACAGCTGCGTGAAAGACCTTTAACTCCAGTGGCGTCTACTGGATCCATAACTGGACAAAACGCGACCACTTCTGGATGCCTATGCTTTGGGTTCAGAGCTTATAAATCACCAAAAGCGCATCCTCATGTGTGGGGCTGTTCAGGATGATGGACAGGAAGGGCTTAGCGGCCCAAAATCCAGGACCAATATGGGGAGGATTGTGAAACAGTCGGCTGAAGACCTCCCCTGTAGGGCTTTCAGATGATTCTCCATGCGCGCTTCCGGAGCTTTGGCTCCAAAGCCAAGAGACAGCTGCATTGCAGAGAAGTAAAGCTGATCTGCGCGTTATTCTAGCGGCAGTGTTTGCAGCTATCTGTGCGCTTGCCCGCTGTTCTGCCGCTGCACACGGTGGTTCTTCGGCTGATGACCTCAGAGTGCTTTTGTCTGTGTGGACACCGGAGACCTTGACAGAAGACTGGCTCATGTTAGTCCCCTTCCCTTCTTGATGCAGCCCTTGTTGCTGGAAGCCATTCGTTACCCCTCCGGCAGTCGCTGTCGCGCACAATGAGCTGCAGCTCTCCAATGGCGACGATAAATACAGCAAAGGCAGAAGAACTGGCAAAAGAGGGCCCCAGACATTCATACCAGTTGCTAGGATAGCCTGCTCCACTGCAGGATCAGCAATAGCAGCAGCGAATGCCGAAACATCCATGAAGAACCTCCTTAGTGCAGTTTCCAAAGACTGCTCAGTTAAAGCTGAATTGGAAGGCTCTAAAGAGCCTTCACAAACCCAAAGAGAGCTCAAGAGAGGCTCCATCTTATCGGGAACTCCTCTGGCAGACACCAAAGGACTTCCCGCAAGATCACTGTCCCCCTGTTGTCCCACATTAGAAATATACGGGAGCTTCTTATTAGCTAAATGCTTAATAGGTTCAGCATCACAAGTTGAAGGTGCAGCCTTTGCTGCTATCGTTGCTACTGCTGCTGCTGTCGATGCAGACAGCGAAGCCCTACAGTCCGCAGTTGCAGCTACGATACGACCTAGATACCTGCACGCCTCAACCTCTTCAATGGGAAACCTAGCAATGAGCGCATCGAGGCTGCTGGGAGGTGTGCCGTAGGAGTCGTGCAGCTGCAACAGCACTGGTAGACAGCAGCTTACTAGCTCCTCAGGTGGGGCTACCTGCTCTTGGCCTTGCTGTTTTTTGAGTGCAGAGAAGTCCCTGAAGTGCAACAACCCCAGTATATCGTCCATTTTACATGTTTTCTGTTTATGCCTTGTTCAGGTTCCCATGGAACCTGTGACCACCTGTGGAAGTAAGAAGCTCTTTTGAGAAAAAAACAGACAATCTATATCTCTCAATTTTCATCGGCAGCCAATGTAGCCAGAGAAATACAGATAATCAGGGCAGGGGCACCATAGGCGTTGGTAGGTTTTGCGGAGGCATTGTGACGTTCAAGCGGCAAGCCTACACATGCCTTCATCCTTCAAGATTAATTCCAGAGCCGTGCGATATGATATACAAACAAAAAAAGTGCAGGCAGCAAGTCAAACTGCATGCGCCATCGATACTGACAATTGAGGGTGGAGCCCCAACGGGCCCTGTTCGGGCCCGAATGTGACCATCTCCTTAGCACCTCAGCATCACTCTATTCGAAGGTAGGCATAGAGCTTTCAGGGCCAGTTTCCAATAGTTTTTCACAGACTGTTCATTTCGTTCGGGTTGTATGTCTTGTTTCGTGTTGCCGCTATGCACGAGGAGCGAACATCCCATTCGCACATGACATGCCGCCCATTCAGGCTGCGATGATATGCTGTATGTGCTCTTCGTTTAAGCAAGTTGAAAGGTTTATTTTGCAACAGAGTGCGGCATAGTGGATGGAAACAGTCGTAAGCCCTCCGTGACTTCTTGAGGGTGGAAGCGCGTAGTGCTTCCACAATTCAGTGTGCGTTGGTGCGGAGCAGCCTGCATGTGGGTAGCAGCCTCGCTGCGTATGTTCGAGGTAGACACGCAAGCGCTTCCGTTCGCCGGTGCCCAGGCTACTAAAAGTCTGCCTAGCCAGGGAGACGCACGCATTCAACGCATACAACGTGCCTCGCAGAATGTTAGAAGCTAACTTTACACACACGAAAACACAAGGTGGCGAGGAAGTCTGTTCACTGTGCAGCGCATGTTTGCACGTGAAAGGACAGGAGGCCAAATATGAGTTTGTCAACCCTAGGGCAGTTTTTTGTCGCCTCCGTACTATCGTAGGTCTAGGTGAAAGTCTCCTGTTAACGGCCTTTCCCCTTGCCGGTGTCCTGTTGCATATGAATATGTACCTCAAGTTCCGGTGCATCTTTAGCTCCATTCGGGTTCACCACGGTGCGAACAGGTGAGCGTCGAATAATAAAGCACGCCGTCTCCTCTGCACGGGAGAGAGGCTTGATGTACTGTTAATGCGTAAGCATATAGTTAAATGTGAAACTGTGGATGCTGCGATGAAGTGCTTGTCACGAGGGGGAGGCGCCCACTCACGTTCCCCCACCTCTCAAGGTCTACACTTCTAAGATGCACATGTTAATCCTTCTGCCGGGAACGGGACAACTTCGTGTCTAACAAAGAATAGAGCGATAGTCTGTATACTTTGAATGGGAAAAAGCCTCCCCAAGGGCCTCGAATAGGATTTCTGCCCTACCCGTTGGAAGCCCCCGTGCCAGATGCAGGAGGAGGGACGGCTACAGCGCCAAACTGCCCGTGTTGCTGGGGAGAATCCCAGCTGCAACAGTTAGTACCATCATCAGCAGAGAAAGGGCTCGATGGGCTCAGGACCCATTGTGCGTCAAAAAGAGCCGACTGTTCGTACCTCGGTTTGTCTTGCCGGTGGTGCTGATCTTGCTGCACCTGCTGCTGCTGCTGTTGTACTGTCTCTCGATGCGGCTGCTGAACCTGTAGCCATGGGGTTGCCTCTGGAGTGGGTTGCTGCCACGTGGCTTGCGGGCTGCTACTATGACTGCTGCAACAGCCACTGCTGCTGCAGTCCCCTGGAGTTTGCCGCGGTCGCTTCACGCCTTTCCCTTTGGGGGCTGCAGGCCCTAAGAGGCTTCTGTACACTACGTGTGAGAGGGACATCGTACCCCAGGCACCTGGAGGTGTTGTTCCCAAAGGCCCCCGTCGGGGCTTCCCTAGCTCACACTCACCGGGCATACTCCTAGCAGGGGGGAAGCCCACTGCTCCTATGGGGGCAAACCTGCTGCCAATGCTGCTACCACCGTGGTAGCGACGCGCTAGAGCAACTGCTTTGTCTGTCGTTGGGTGACCCCTCTTGTTGCGCGGTGCCTGCCGAGCAGGAAACCCTAAGTGCAGCCGGGGGTCCCTAGGGGCGCACTCAGGTGTTTTTAACTGCCTCAGCTCACCTGGAGTAGGTGGCAGCAGCGAAAACAAACAACGAGGCAGAAATGCCCTTTGAGTTTCCAAAAGAAATGCGCGAAATAACTCGTCAAGACTCCCCTGCAGCGATGAAAGCCCTACGGAGAGACGACTGTCTACTATGGCTGCTGCTTCTAGCAATGCAGAAACCGCGCCTTCGACACTTTTACCCTGTTGTAGTTCTTTGTACTCTTCTTGATTGCGCTGTTGCTTATCTGGAAGCTCTTGTGTTTGCTGCTCCGTCTGGCCTCTCTCCAGAAGGCTTTCTGCTGCCTCTCTGAGTTGCTGCATGTACCAGCACAGTTCCAGTGCTTGATGCGGGGAGGTAAGAAACTGCCGAAGCACCTGCACCAGCACCTTGTCATTAGTCAAGGAAATGCTTTTGTCACATGGTGCTGCCACTGCGTTGTCTGCAACAGCCGAAGCAGCAACAACTGAGGCAGCAGCAAATGATCCGTTGGGGATTTGGCAAGCCTTGCCACCCTGTACTCCAACTGCGCCGGCCGTCGCTGCATCGCCTTCAGCAATCGTTAAGGATCCTGAAACTGATGTACCCCGGCATGCTTTCTTGGGAGCCAAAATCCTCACGCAGAGCTTCTCATGAGAATCGGAGAACTCTTGCCGCTCAGCCTGCTCGTAAGGTGTTCCCCCGGAAGGGCCCACGGAAGGCACGATTAGCACTTTGCAGTCATCGGCGAGGCGCTGCTGCTGCTGCTGCTGCTGCTGCTGCCTCGCCTTCTGCTCATGCTCAATACCCTTACTGAGAATGGGAATCACACTCATGATCGGGTATGGCCATCCAGTACTTCGCATAGCCCAACGGCGAGCACCAAGAGGACCTCTCTTTGTAGCTGTTGCTGCGGACGCTATTGGTGCTGTTGGCGCTGTTGCCGTTTGTTCAGCTGGTTCGCTCGCTTCCACCTGATTGCTGTTTACAGTTGCCGCTGTATCTTCTGTGTGCCTCGCAACCGAGTGATGTGAAGCCAGAGAAGTGTATATACATCTGACTGCTGTCGCCGTTGCTGCGCCATCAGCAGCAAGCTTACATACTAGCCGACGGGCCTCCTTCCCAAGCATTTCCTCTAAAGAAACGGCCGTTTCCTTTGCTGCTGCGCTGCCTTTTCTTCTAGAGATTAATCCATGATCACTCTCAAATGCTGAGGAGCAGCACTCCTCTGCTTTGCATTCTCGACATTGCTCCTCTTGTTCCTGTTTCGGCTGCCGAAGACATTCGCCAACGAAAGAGGGAAGCGGCGTTTGCTTCTTTTGTTCGGCTACAATACAGTCGTAGCATTCCCGCGCAAATGCCTTCGATGCTCCCTCTGCCAAAACTAACAGCTTCTTCCAATGATTCTCTGCATTCAACGAGTCGGGGGCTCGAGCACACGCTCCTGCTTTTTCTGGTGCGTCCTGAACTGAAGTTGCTAGGTCGAGTTGGCGGATCGCCAAGTCTATCGCGTCCCCAGCTTCTGCAGCATCAACTACAGCGTTAGTACCGGGAACTTGCTGCTGTAAAGAGGCGGAGACCTGCTGAGGGTATCCTACAATGTCGGTGCGTCCCCGGTTTTCAGCCGCTCCAAAGTGCGCGCAACTGCTGCTAACTTTACCACGCGTGCCTATAGAGGGATACTGCGGTGTGTAGGCAGGTGCAACGGCAACACGAGCCGCAACACGCAGCAAAGCTTCTCTTGGCGAAGCCCACCGGCCTTCCACGGCCCCCTTTGACCCCTCGCGGGGCTCCAGTTGGCATTCCCCGGCTTCCCAGTGGCAACCAAGCTCATGCTGCGAGTTGTTGGCGGCGTTACTGCTGCAGGCGCTGCCACGTGCGCAAGTGTCACACAGCCCACGGCCCCACGGCGCACTGCAGAACCTACCCTTCTGCCAAGCACCCCTCTCAACATCGGCAGCAGCCACTTCGTTTGCTACTGGTACAGCAGCTGGAGCAGCACGGTCAGCGGTGCACAATTCAGGAGTGCCAGTGATATGGGCAACGGAAGCATCCCCTGTAACAGGGCTGGCAGTTCCAGTAGTCGACGCACGTGCAGTACAAAAGTTCCGCTCTCTGAGAGCACATGCGGGAGCAGCAGGTGTTGCAACAGCTTCCCATGTGGCAGCACCCGCTGTTGTCACGTGCCCAGCAGCAACAGGCGCAAGTGTCGCAGGCTCCTCTATTGCGGGTATAGGAATACCAGACGCGGCAGCAACATCCACAGCATCTGCTGGTGTGCCAGCTGCACGTTTAAGCACCCGCGGAGTCTCTTGAGGGTCGAAACACGCGACCTGCCGTTGATGTTGCATCAACGGCTGTTGCTCTTCCTGCTGCGCTCCCGACCAGTCCTGCTGATGGCACTGCCTTTTCGTCACTGCACGCTCCTGCCTCTGATGCGCCTGCATTTGTTGAGACTGCCGTTGCAGGTGCTGCTGCTGCAGGTGCTGCTGTGCTCGCTGTTGCTGAAGCTGCTGCTGGAACTGCTGACGCTGCAGACGTTGCTGCTGTTGGGCCGCTCTGAGCAACTGCAGTTGCTGTTGCTGTTGCTGAATGTGCTGCAGGTGCTGCTGTTGCTGTTGCTGTTGTAAGAAATGTATCTGTGTCTGCAGGAGATGAAGCTGCTGCTCTTGCTGCTGTCGCAGCTGCTGCTGCAACTGCTGCTGCTGCGGGCATTGTTGTTCAGGGTCTGGATGCTGCTGCAACCATTGCAGTGGCTGTTGCTGCTGCCGCTGCTGTTCGTCGTAGCGCTGCAGAGTACTTCGCTGCTGTTGCGGCCTCGAGTGATTCAGAAATTGATGCTGCTGCAGCGCGATAAAGGCAGTGTGCCTCTTGGCGCATGGTTGATTTACTGGTCCA